TATTTTAGGGTGAGGGGGTAGGTAGGGACTTTTTATTTGGGGGGGGGTGACTAGGGGCTTGGGGACCCCTAGTCACCTTGGGAATTTACTTAGGGCCCCCACCCGCAGCCCGGTGGGGGAGGACAGTAGGTCCCCCCCTCATTATCTTTGTGGCCCCCACCCACTGCCCAGGGGTCGGGGCCGGGGGGGGAGGACAGTAGGTCTCCCCCCCTCATTATCTTTGTGGCCCCCTCTTTGTGGCCCAGGGGTCGGGGCCGGGGGGGGGAGGACAGTAGGTCTCCCCCCCTCATTACCTTTGTGGCCCTGGGCGGCGGCCCAGGGGTGGGGGCCGGGGGGGGGAGGACAGTAGGTCTCCCCCCTCATTATCTTTATGGCCCCCACCCGCCACGCAGGGGTGGGGGCCAGAGGGGCAGTAGGTCCCCCCTCATTATCAATATGGCCCCCACCCGCCGTGCAGGGGTGGGGGCCGGGGGGGGGCAGTAGGTCCCCCCTCATTATCAATATGGCCCCCACCCACCGCACAGGGGTGGGGGCCGAGGGGGGGACCTATTGTTTATTATAGGTCCCCCCCTTATTGTTCATTTTAGGGCCCCCACCCACCGCTCAGGGGTGGGGGCCCGGGGGGACAATAGGTCCCCCCGTTATTGGTATTTTTAGGGCCCCCACCCACCACTCGGGGGGGACTTGGGGGAGGACAATAGGTCCCCCCCCTATTAGTATTTAGGGCCCCCACCGGGGGGGGCTTTTTTTTTTTTTTTTAAAACAGTGAGCAGCCACATGCCCCTACTCACGGTATTGAGAGTAGGGGCACAATTTACTAATACTAAGTAATTTTTACTTAGTATTAGTAAATTAATAGGGGGCGGACCGAACATCGCATATGTTCGCCGTCGGCGGCGAACGCGAACACGCTATGTTCGCCGGGAACTATTCGCCGGCGAACCGTTCGGGACATCACTACTCATGAGCTTATAGGTTGATACGCAAGCAATGTTTATGTCTATGTACTAATAATCTCACCAAGCTGAACCTCCCTTTGAAATATGTGCCTAGCTTGAATATACCAATATAAAATTAGTGCTGTGTTCTCACAATGCAACATGTCTATACTACTGTTATTAATGTTTTGCCTGCATTGGCTGTTCGGGCATTGCAGGATTCTCTGTATTTCTCTATAAGCACTGCAAAAAATGAAAAAAATGTAAAATTAATTTTTTTTAAAAAGTGGCAATAACATGCTCATAAAAGGAGCCCATGTCTTAAATTTGATTTTTGAGTCATTTAGTAGATGCCACCTTTATTATTTTCCTATGTGCGATGTGAGGATATATGGAGTGATAAATATTAAAAATAACATTTCATAAAAATGATCAAAAAATTATTTAATAAATTTTATTATATCAAAAATTGCTATATTGTCATTGTTCCCCTTGATTTAAAGCAAAGAGCTACCCACTATTATAACTCTTATAGACCCTGGAGTACATTTTATAGAGAATTTGTATTTCACACATTAATTACAAACTAGTTATACAAATATAATTTATTGTGGCAATAATTAATAATATGTAACATGCGTGACAATAATCAGTGAATATTTAGGTCTTACATATGTATACAATATGGCAACAGTTTTGACACAATCACAAATAGCTCAATAGCAACATCTCCACATATATGCAAATTTCATCAAGATTTACCACAGCACACTTCACTTTGAAATCAGCTAGGCATTTCTTAACACAGAAACTTTCACAGCCACAACAGCACAGCTTACAACAATAAAAACGTTGGCTGACAGTTTAACCCCTTAGTGACCAGACCGTTTTTCAATTTTACTCATTTACTGTACCCACACATATTATACACCGTTTTTCTCGCCATTAAATGGTCTTTCTAAAGATTCCATTATTTTCATCATATCGTGTAATTTACTATAAAAAAATTATAAAATATGATGAAAAAATAAAAAATCACCTTTTCTAACTTTTACCCGCAAAATCTGTTATGCATCTACAACGGCCAAAAAACACCCATGCTAAATATTTTCTAAATTTTGTCCTGAGTTTAGAAATGCCCAATGTTAACATGTTCATAGCTTTTTTGGGGAAAATTATAGGGCTCTAAGTACAACCGGCCACTTTGCGATTTCCAAACCATTTTTTTTTTTCAAAATTAACGCAAGTTACATTGTAACACTGATATCTGTCAGGAATCCCTGAATAACCATTCACATGTATATATTTTTTTAAAGAATTCAACCTAAGGTATTAAACTTTTCTTTTCATGCAACCATTTTACCACCAATCCATGCCAAATTAAATTTTTTTTGGCACACATAGAAATTTTAAGAATACATGTACGGAGAACTTTATGGATTACTGACAAAAAGCACCCCAATAGGTGTTCAGCAACATCTCCTGAGTGCAGTGATACCCCCCATGTATAGGTGTGTCGGGTTCTCTGGGGGCTAAAAGACCTTATTTGGAGGGTGCGCTGTACAGTTTTCCAACTTGGAATTTTCACAGCTGGTCATCACGTCCTATTTGGGACATTTTTGTAATTTACCCCATCAAACCATATATTTTTGAAAAGCAGACACCTTAGGGTATTTCAAATGGTGGTATTTTAACACTTTCCATGCACTAGTTCTACCACCAGTCTTTGTCAAAATTTTGGTTAGTCATTTTTTAATGTTATTTTTCTCACATTGTACTTTAGGCATGGATTCTCAGTTCCCAATATCTGTTCAGTAACATCTCCCGAGTACAACAGTGCCCCCCAATGTACAGATTTTATGGATTTTTTTTCAAACTTACATGGGTCAAATGTAGGGCTTTCCCCTTTTCCATGTTCGCACATTGAAATTTGCCAGATTGGTTTGCTGGGCCTATGTTGCTTTTGAGACCGTATAGCAGCCCAGGAATGAAAATTAACCCCATCATGGCATACCATTTGCAAAAGTGGAAAAACCCAGAGTATTCAAAATGGGGTATGTCCAGTCTTTTGTAGTAGCCACTTAGTTACAAACACTTGCCAGAGTTAGTGTTTTTATTTGTTTTTTGCGGTTTTTTTTTTAAACACAAAAACTGCACTTTTACTGATTATTTAATCGCCGTGATACGTTTTACTGTTTTAATCACTCATATTTGTGTTCAGCGAAGTCTCTCGAGTATAACAATATTTTGACATTTGCCTTTGCAGTGGCTTATTATGTGTGATCTCTGATATTGTTGAGATCGGCATATTTAACAGGATTCCCACGCATGGGAGTGTTCATGTCTTGTACTTATTTCGAGGTTCAGTTATAGCTCATTTTTCATCATATTCATGTTGAAAGTGAGGCTCGTTGTCAATGACATAGGTAAGGGCGTGCATTGGTTTTTTTTCATGTAGTGTTGAGTGGTGTATTGGTCTGTTGTTCTGTGGTTATTCTGGCAAATTATTAGGTTTGGGTGGCGTGAGTGTTTGTCATGTTTCTGGTTTTACTGGATGTCACCTGAGGGTCATCCTCTCTTTTGTTAGTGTGTGTGAGGTGTAATCGTGGGTTTAAGTCTATGGGGTAAGTCGGTCTGGTCTGTCAGGGGTTGTCCTGTGGTATCTCATGGTCTACGTTTGCGGGCAGGGAGGAGTAGGTTTCGGGTGTTATGGGTGGGTAGGTGAGTTAGAGGAAAAGAGAGAGAAGAAAAAAAGGGGGGGAGGGGTCCTGCTTGGGTGTAGTTCCCGGCCATCGCCCCAGCCCGCCACGTCCCGCAAGCCTCCCTGTTCTGCTCTCTGGTTGTTTAGCTGGCAGCCAGATGTTGTACAAATTTGTCTGAGGAGATGTGTCTCAGCCAGTGGAACCAACGTTGTGTGTATCTTTCTGTTTCTTTTTTGCTTTTGCAGTTGCTACCTTCAGATCTTCATGTTTTCGTGTGTCCTCAGGATCTTGAGGAAGATCTGAAGAGGTTGAAACTTCGATCAGATTTATGTAACCTTGTTGGATATTAAATACCAGTGATATCTTCTAAAGACACTTTTAACTCTTTTCCAGGTAGGATTTTGTCACAGATCTTGTAACCACAGCCTTCTAGGGTAATGAAAGTCCAGGACACATCCAGCTCAGTTTTTCAGATTTATTCGGTGAAATATATATACACAGGTGTTTTAAAATGAAAAATAAACAAAACAAAATTCCTTGCTCTTGATTGAGCACTTACTATACACTATCTGGAATTGGGTGGCTTTCCCACTTGCCAATTTACAAAAAGTAAAACTGCAAGTCACCATTCCTCTGGCTTTTCCTCCTCACCCTGCAGTATGCTGATCCCTTCTTTTTAAAAGCCTGCTAGCTAATTGATCAGATACAGGTGAGGTGCAATTAGACATAAGTGAAACTACTAAGCAAAATAAAAGTTCTGGTCCGACTGTTACTTATTAGCTGGTGCTATTGGAGCACTGGCCCACCCTGCTCTCCAAGTGCTCCGCCCCAGGGACCCATACCGTGCTTTGCAGAGTACCAGTAATGCATCTTGCAAACATCTATCCCTGGGACATTTAACTCTCAAACCTCAGGCTGCTGTTCAGTAAATCAGGCCTAATGTATATGCCATCAACTACCAAACCACATTTTCTCTCAAATATATATATATATATATATATATATATATATATATATCTCCACAAGTGCTTGCACACTGACTATTCAGTTTTTAATGCCGGGTGCATCTTGTAGCCACAGCCAAAATATAAATATAAGTAGTAAATGGCTTGCACTCAGTCTTTTTCATAGTAAAATTCTTTAATTCAATATTCATATAAAAAAAATCAACGTTTCAGCCCTCTTCCGTGGCTTTCTTCAGGATCAATGCATATCTATTACAAACTAACTTATATAGCATGTTCATTAGTAAATGTGAAACAAATTGATTAGATAATTAAAAAAATTCACTCACCACCAGTGATTCCTAATTCACCTCCCCGGCGTCCTTCAAATTGATGTGCGCATGTGCCAGTATACCGCAACCTGGAAACTGCGTACTGACGTCTCCCTATGTTGCCATGGTAACCCAATATCGCTTCGGGCACCATAGCATCTGGGATAAACATAAACAAAGTGTGAGCCAGAACCATTCCACCACCAGTGATATGTGCAATCACAAAGATGAATCCTATAGTGACATGTAAACTACTTCATATTGCATATTGTTGTGTTTAATAAAGTGACTTATGAAAACCCAAATTTTGTATAGAACGCTAATTCTATGTGTCTATTGAGATTAATAGTGCCTAGATATTATACTTACACATTTGCCATATGTTAAAGTGCTAATTCAAGGATTTCCGGGAAGTCGAGGAGGGCATTGAAGATTACTTGCAGGACTTTGAGCGCAATGTCTCCTGCTGGAAGTCGACCAGGCAGACTGGGTAATAAGCTGACCGGGAGAGCAGCGTAGGCTTATCAGGCAGTACCTGAGGACCAGATCCTTGACTACGGAGCTGTGAAATAGGTCTTCACGGCCAGGTATGCCATAACCCCAGAAGCATATCGGCGGAAGTTCATAGGGACAAAGAAGGGGGAAAAGTACTCCCATACAGAGTGGGCATGCCGCATTCACCGGAAACAAAAGGAAGTGGTAAGGGGTCAGCGCTCTTGAATATTACAGGAAAAACAGCAATAACAAGGCAGCACACCTAAACAGTATGGCTCACTCACAGGCCTTACAAGTAGACAAAGCAGTAGAAAAAAAAAAGGTGGGAGGTAGGCGGAACCAATAAATAAATACAATAAACAGATACAACACATATATAGGAATATAAAAAGTAAAAGATAAAATAAAAATAGAGAGTTCCAAAGATAGAGTTCAGGAAAGCCTTTTGATGACTGGACGTAAAGCCAATGATAGTTCTATGAATTGGAAGCCGCTCTATGAGGTAGTGGTGTTCTTAAAGTCCATATGTGGAGATAAAAAGAAACAACTAATGGTGCAATATATTCAACAAGTAGGTAGCAGCTGGTAAAAAGTCTGATATGATCCTACTCTCGTTTTAAAGAGCTAAGGAACTAGCTCTAGTATGAAGTATGTCCAGTGGTATAATCCCCACTTATAGGATACGTGAGATGGTGGCTTGTCTGAAGGAGGGTCATATGAAATATAAAAGGAGCCCCAATAGTGCTCTCTATTTAAAAATCATGAGTGGTATAATCCCCACATAGGATTCTTTAGAGTAATGTCTCACTGGAACAGGATAAAAACTCAGAAACCAGGTAAAGAAGCATTAAAATAAGATAAAAAAGTAAAATGGCAACTCACAGACAGGAAGTAGCCAAACTACCTTTAATAAAATACAATACAGTTATTAAAATGTCCACAACGCGTTTTGCCAGCAGGCTTTATCAAGTGGAAATGTTGAGAATATAACCTGGCAAGCATGGGTTTATAAAGGGAATGAGACAGCTTGTGTTATTAAAAAATGATGTCATAATTACATAATTAATATATTTAAAACAAAGTTAGAAATTCTTATATTCTTATATACATATGTTAAGAAACTGGAGTGTATACATGTTTGGAATAAATAGGTAATAATAGAAAACGATGGTTATGAAAACATTTTATAAAGGGGAGGAGGTCATGTGGTCGGCGGCCATTTTCGCTAAGGATCATGGGGACTGTAGTGTTGCCGCCAGTATCGTCCCAGTGACGAAAAAATGTGGGCACGTTTATTGTGTAGTTGGAGGGCGCGTCCTAATGGCGCGAACCTCCTATATGTGTATCTATGTGACATGGATAGGAGGGCGCGTCCTAGTGATGCGGACCTCCAAAGGGAGACACCAGTATCTGCGTGAATGCTCTTTCTAATGATGCGGGAATGGGGGAGACGTTAAAATGACGCAAGTGGCTGGGGGTGTGGAAGAGGGAGGGGAGAGCAGTGCTAAGAAAGAGTAGGGGGCGGGGTAAGGGAGACTGCATATGGTAAGGTATTGTAGACAGAGCAAAACAGTGTAAGGACATATACATATTTGCAGAGTATGGTGAATCAAGCTGTTTACATATAAATAGCTATATATATATATATATATATATATATATATATATATATATATATGTATATACACACACACACACACAATATTGTAACAAGTAAAATACCTATTGATAATACAAATGTGAAAAATATATATAATTGTAAAATAAATTAAATACAACTTAAGATCAAAGCAAAATACATATATTAATTGGTCCTGGGATATATAAGTAGACAGGGTGTTGAATAAAATGTCTCTAATATGACAATCTGTTGATGTGAGCAATATATAGTTATAAACTGTTAAAGAAGATTAAAATGATCGAAGTCAACATTAAGACTGTCTGGTGCAAGGTTTTTTAAAAAGAAATACCCAGTTCATTTCATTTTTGCCCAAGAGAACACCCCTACCTCATAGAGCAGCTTCCCATTCATAGAACTATGATTGGCTTTACTTCCAGTCTTCAAAAGACTTTCCTGAACTCTATTTTTATTTTTCCTTTACCTTTTACTTTTTATATTCCTATATATTATATATGTGTTTTATCTGTTTATAGTACTTATTTATTGGTACCGCCTACCTCCCACCTTTTTTTCTAATGCTGCAGCAAGAGTCTTAGGCTGCCCAGAACTGGGTGGACTCACAGCAAGCAAAGTCCCCCGAAGAGGTTCTGCGCCCCGGCTGGGACCCATAGTTCAGGTGCCATCAGCCTGTGCATATCAAAAAGGATACCCCCAGGCTCGCCCAGGACCCCCATTCATTACCCCTGTGGCCCCTCACCTGCCACGAGCTGCAGCTACCGGGCTGCTCCCCTCGACTCTCCAGCTGCCCACAACAACAGGGCTCATCACCGGGAGCCGGTCCAGCTTAATGGACACACCGTGCAAGGTATACGGGATACCGGTGCCACCCTGACCCTAGTTCTCTCCTCTCTCATCCCAGAAACTCAAAAGACTGGCGGGACCATTGCAGTCCGAGTGGCCAGGGGTGACATCCATTGCCTACCCACAGCATAAGTACACCTCGACTGGAGCGCTGGGGACAGACAGGCCTTATGAACCAGCTACCTGCGGTTGGCAACGACCTCGGACACCTCACCTCTTCCTATGTACACCTCCTGACACCCGCGGAAGCCCACCCTGTGATGAGCAGGCAGCAAGCCCGCACAACCCAGGATGCTTCACACTCTAAGGCTCAGGTAGGCACACGACCCCTCCCTGCCTTCCTGTTCCCCATAGGGATACCCCCCTCGCCCTGGGTCCCCTCCCCATCCCTACCCCCGGGTCACCCATGCCTGCCTCTGACCTGACCCACCAGGGACATGGCAACTACAGGGAAGCTAGGGAAGGAGGGGGAGTGGTACCTCTAGCAAGGAGCAAGAAGTCAGGCAAAGTCCCCCTCACCAAAAAGCAATTGATGGCACCCAGGAATTATCGACATAGCTCACGATATCCTCTTGGCAGGGTATTTGGGAAGGGGCCGAACAGCAAGTCGGCTCACCCAAAGCTTCTGCCCAGGCATCTCCAAGGATCTGAGGCAATACTGCCAGACCTGCGATGTCTGCCAGAGAGTAGGGAAGCAGGGCGACAAGGTTTGGGGTGAATGGGCTCGGTATGCAGAGATTTGGACAGATACACAGTCTTTAAATGTAAGGTTTTTATTATAAAGCAAATAAGTATAATGAAAAAGTCCCAATGCAAAATAGAAGCGGAAAATAAGGCAATATCTTTATAGGAAATAAAAGTTTTTTAAAGAAAGATTTTTACCACAGTTTCAGCACTGGGCAAATGTTGAAAGGCTTGATTTAAGTTGTAGCAGAGTTGCAGGGGTTAACCAAGGTTGGAACAAGGTTGCAGGGGTTAACCAAGGATGGAGCAAGGTTGCAGGGCATTAATTCACACAGGAACAGGATTGCAGGGGTTAACCAGAGTCCATGCAGCCAAAGTTAATTCAGGAAATCCAGTAAGCAAAGAGTTTTACCAGAGTCCAGACAGGCAGGGGTTAATTCAGGAAATCCAGGCAGGTGGTTTTTTTTTATTTTTTTTATTTATATTTTTATTTTTCAATATACATAATTGAGTAACAAACATTTCTCTTATTTTGGTATGCAAAGATGGGTAACAATCATTTCTCATACTTCAGTTTGTGTAGATGAACAACAATCCTTTCTCAGATTGCTAAACCCGTCAGGGTGATTATATATCAATTCGTCATTTTGAGAACGGATTAACAGTAACATTGGTTTCGTAAAACGTAACAATGCGTAAAAATATACCAGCTGTGTAGATGATGTGGCTTCATGCCAGTTTACAATGGCACAATCAAATAACTATATGTGTCGGAGATATTATGAATATGTAGTCTATGTTGTCTGCGTCAGTCCTCGTGTGTGGTAGCCGTGACTGGAGAGATCGTTAGGTTCGTCCTTGTGGCAAGGTTTTGGTTATAGTCTACAGCTAGTGTGTATAGTGTCAATTTTCGGTCTTACCGTGTGGTGCTCTCGATTGTGTCCCTTTCCCTACTCCTGATTGCCTCTGTCTAGAAATTGGGTCCAAGGTTCCCAGGTTTGTTTGTAGTGTGCGTATCTATGGGTGAGTGAGAAGGTAAGTTCTTCCATGACCCTAGTGTCTTCCACTTTTTGTATCCATTCCCTAACTGAGGGTGCTAGGGTCTGTTTCCATTTTATAGGTATTAGTAGGTTTGCTGCCGTCAGTAGATGGTTGATGAGGTGGAGTCGTGTCTTAGGGATGTCGGTTGGGGGTAGCAAGAATAGGTAAGATTCTGGGAGGAAGGGTAGAGAGATGTCTGTGATGTGTTTAATCAGGTCTGAGATTTTTTTCCAGAAAGCATTTATTATAGGGCAGGACCACCATATGTGTGCGGATGTAGCTGGGGTTTGGTTACATCTCCAGCAAAGGTTCCGGGTGTTTGAGTATATTCTACTCAATTTGTCTGGTGTATAATGCCATCTGGTAATTTTTTTGTAGTTACTTTCTTGTATGGTGCTATTCGTTGTAGTAGAGTGAGCCTTGGTTAGAATTTTCGTCCAGTCGGTGTCGGGGATTGATGTGTTCAGATCGGGCCCCCATGTTTGTGTAAATGGTGGGAAACTAGTATTGTTGTCTTTTTGGAGGAGTTTGTACATAGTTGAGAGGTGTTTGTTTTTGATCCCCTGCGTTTGGCATAGATTTTCGAATTCTG